GAGTATAATTAACACAGCGATGATAACATGAGCAATACAATGGTTTCATTATTTAACAAAAACGGTGGAGCTTTTATGCACTTTTCCTATCAAATATTTATTCTGAGTCAAATAATGATGGAAAATAATCAACAAGATTGAGCTAATTGCTAAGTAACCAAGAGCGACATCAGGACTCACAGTCATAGGTAGGTCCTCAAGGGCTAGACATAAGCTATCGCTTAGACCGGCAAGAGTTGAGACAACAGAAAAACTCGTTCTATGTTCAACTGCATTCCGACGTGTCCCCCGCCTGAGAGGAACCCAACAACCACTGCCGCCTCAAGTAAGTCCAAGACACAGACTCTGTGCCAACCTCAACAACACTGTGCCTTCAGGGGGACTAATTTCATTTACCCTCAACGTGACAGTTGTTTTGCAGTAATAAAGTAACCCGAACCTTAAGCGACGTTGCAGAGGTCCGCGACTCTAGGATCCCCGCCACCGTGTATGACAAATATCGCTGGAATAACAGTGGAAAATTTCAAGAAAGAACCGGACAAGTTTCTAATAGAAACATGTCCGGGTTTGTCGCACACATACGACCTTTAATATGGTCCAGGACGGACCGAAACGTCTTCGCTTCTTCATCTTCTGGTGTGTGGTCTGGTCATCAAGTTTCTACTGGGTTACCGGATCAACCTGGCTGTGATGGCTCTCTGGGTCTTAAGACTACGAAGACAAACCGCCTCGCAGACCAGACAATCACCAGGCAAGACTGGCCACAGGTCAGGCTGCTGGAGTAGAACAACTCTCGAAATTATCAGCAGGCAATCCAAGTGTCATTTGGAAGGTTCAGCGGCCATCATGACCCAGCGTAACAACCACGAGGATGGTTGAAGAGTGAGCGGCAACCTGCTGTATCACGTCCTCTTATAATTTCTACGAGCTTACGGGAGACCGCTTCCCGGTGGTCTCCCACTGCTCCTTCTCGACAAATATCTAAAGGATGATGACCGAACCACATCAGAAAACTGAAAAACGACGACGTTTGTGTCCGTCCTGAACCATTATCAAGTCGTGTTGATAATGGTCCAGTGTCGTGTTGATAATGGTCCAGGTCGTGTTGATAATGGTCCAGGTCGTGTTGATAATGGTCCAGGTCGTGTTGATAATGGTCCAGGTCGTGTTGATAATGGTCCAGGTCGTGTTGATAATGGTCCAGGTCGTGTTGATAATGGTCCAGGTCGTGTTGATAAAGGCCCACGTCGTGTTGATAATGGTCCAGGTCGTGTTGATAAAGGTCCACGTCGTGTTGATAATGGTCCTGGTCGTGTTGATAAACGACGGACCGAAACATCCGTCACCATATTTGTGACTCGTCGTCTGCATCACAAGGATGGCCGCGACATTCTGTAATACCAAGGATGAGGTGGGGCTGGCCCCATACAGCATTTCATGTAGCTATAATGAACCACAACAAAGTCAGGAGTCATTACACCGAATGAACGATATCCAAGTGACGGGACCCGGGCAGTGACGTTCAAAGCTGTGCAGCTGAGGTCCCCAGCGTGGTGTGCCCACTGCCACAGCAGCTGTGAGGTAAGCACTCCTGGTGAGCCCCGGTGGGGTAAGTGTGCCGGGGAAGAATACCCAGTGGTAACACCACAAGGGCCCCAAGCTTCCCACGCTCCTTGGCTCCAGTAATGAAACTCCCGCCAGATGGTGATGCGGTGGTGGTTTTAAGGGCTGAGTATACGGGTCGTTGAGGGTGGAGGTGGAGGATGCGGTGATAAGGGGGCAGGTAATTACCATAAAGTTATCCGGGATGGGATAAGACTACGCCCACAGCATCAGCGTCCTCCTGGGTACCAGACCATGTAGGGTAAGTCCATCCATCTCTCGGCGCGAGTGTTCTTACCTGGCTGGCCTCCGGCGATTGGCATTCTGCTGCTTGGCTCCGCCTTTTCAGCTGTTGGTCGCCTGATGCACAATTCCCCGGTCATTTTGTTATCCATCCTGCCAGATACTTAAACCCTTTGTTTACCTTCTCTCTTAGTCCACTCGTCCCGTTGTTACGCGGAGCGTCTTGTTAGTACATAATGTGTCCACATAATGGCCCTTATGTATGACTGTGGCCTGGCTGCTCTGTACCCCCGTGGTCTGCCGCTCCTGGTCTGCCGCTCCTAGCCTGCCGCTCCTGGTCTGCCGCTCCTGGTCTGCCGCTCCTGGTCTGCCGCTCCTGGCCTGCCGCTCCTGGTCTGCCGCTCCTAGCCTGCCGCTCCTGGTCTGCCGCTCCTGGTCTGCCGCTCCTGGTCTGCCGCTCCTGGTCTGCCGCTCCTGGCCTGCCGCTCCTGGTCTGCCGCTCCTAGCCTGCCGCTCCTGGTCTGCCGCTCCTGGTCTGCCGCTCCTGGCCTGCCGCTCCTGGCCTGCCGCTCCTGGTCTGCCGCTCCTGGTCTGCCGCTCCTGGTCGGCTGCTCCTGGTCTGCCGCTCCTGGCCTGCCGCTCCTGGCCTGCCGCTCCTGGCCTGCCGCTCCTGGCCTGCCGCTCTATACAGCCTAGAAAACTCTTCCGTCTCCCTCAAGGGAAGAGTGTTGTTACTGTTAGTGCGGAGTTGGAACACTCCGGCGGCCGTCTTCACTCTCGTGTTCATGATGATATCCTCATAACACAGCCAGAGTGTGCCCGGTGCACACTACTGATCACCTTGACTGTATGACCGGGACCGGCAGACGCTGGTCCCCCCCCCCCCCCCACACACACATACTAATTAGTGAGGTAAACACTTCACCTTCATGTCAACAGAACCCATATGTCCAGCTCCACCTGCCCAAGGTTACCTAGACTAGATTTATGTCTTGCTCCTTGCCTGTCAATAGTCTCATTAGGAAGGTGGCATCAATGAGGCTGGTGGTGAGGCAATGGGTCTTGCCACACACTCAACATTTGGGAGATTTGGCTCAAACGCTAAACTCGTGTCTCTTCTTGTCTCGCTTTGATCGTTATCGACCAACAGAGAGGGTTATTCCGTCTCACTGAATTATGTTTTAATAAGTTCAGGACTGAAATAAATTCTCAGTGGATACACACACGCTTCTCAGTGTATATATCCCTGCTCTCCTCACCAGCAGGTCTGTCACACCTGCTCTTACACATGTCAGCATTGTGCGTGATGCAAACCATGACAGCCGGTGTTATCATCGGTCCAGATACACCTGTAAACCACTCAGCTTAAGTGCCAAAAGCTAGCCTAGTCCACAGGTGTGAACAGCGCCCAAGTCCACAGGTGTGAACAGCGGCCAGGGCCAACACGTGCCAACAGCGGCCAGGGCCAACACGTGCCAACAGCGGCCGGGGGCAACACGTGCCAACAGCGGCCAGGGCCAACACGTGCCAACAGCGGCCAGGGCCAACACGTGCCAACAGCGGCCAGGGCCAACACGTGTCTTAATGGTTTGGTGTGTTTGTAGTTGTCTCGTCAGTGGGGAGGAGCGCAGTATAAACAGCTGTGGCATTTTCTACGTTTATATTCCACAATATAATAACGTGACCTGGGCGACGTGCTAGCTATGGAGAGAGTGAATATGTGCAACATCACTGCTCAAGATGATGTACAAAGCGATGAAGCTGACCTCTTGGGAATGAAGTTTAACTCTTCAATTAACTTATAATAAGCCAGTTGCTGAGCCTAGTAAGCTAGGCAGCCAAGAAACTTCCAGCCAATAGGCACATTTTGTACATTTCAGTAGCAAAGGCTATACAACTTGATCTGTTGCACAAGTTCGCTCCCATGTTGAGTACGCACCGCTCTCCTGGGAGGCCTGCTCCTCTCCCACGCCATATATCAGACTTTCACAAAAGTTGGAGAAGAGTGTTTAAGAACTTGTTGTGCTGGAGAGGCCAGTGTATCAAAGCCTCCACTACCCAGATTGTAAACTCTGTGATAAACCTTTAATGCATTCACTAGAACACTATATTGTTGAATGTGAAGCCGTAATGGACTTTAGACCTCCTGGCCTCTTGTACCACCAACTGTGTAACTATTTCATTGACTCACGTGTTCTGGACGACATCCTAACAATTTATCTAAAATTTGCTTGTCCATTTTAAAGAATGAAGAACAATTTTATTTATGTTATTTTTAAGATACATCACCTATGAACCCATCCCTACCCTTGTGTGGCAGTACACAATAGATTTTTTTTTTACATAGTCATATATTAAACCATTGATTGTAACCATGATATATATGTGTTTCAGCCTACAGTTTAGACCTATTGTCTTATGTATGACCCTCTGTCCTGTGTGACAGTGAATACCAGCATTATCCTCACTTTAATAAGACTTAATTGAAATCCTCAGATTAAGCAAAATTGTAATTACTTTTGTCAATGAAGATGTTAATAATAATAATAATGCAAATCAACATTCAAGTAAATTTATTTAAAATAAAAACTAATATTACGGCTTTTAAATGAATGAGAACGAGCTGATGTAAGATAACAGCTCTAAGCTTACAGCCTTGTCGCCCCCCTTTATCAATAAGCCCTGGTGTTAATTCAAAAGAGAGAGAGAGAGAGAGAGAGAGAGAGAGAGAGAGACAGAGACAGACAGAGAGACAGACAGAGAGACAGACAGAGAGACAGACAGAGAGACAGACAGAGAGACAGACAGAGAGACAGACAGAGAGACAGACAGAGAGACAGACAGAGAGACAGTCAGAGAGAGAGTCAGAGAGAGAGTCAGAGAGAGAGTCAGAGAGAGAGTCAGAGAGAGAGTCAGAGAGAGAGTCAGAGAGAGAGTCAGAGAGAGAGTCAGAGAGAGAGTCAGAGAGAGAGTCAGAGAGAGAGAGACAGACAGAGAGTGAGCACGCAGCAACCTCACGTGCTTGTACACGTACAAAGTAATAACATCAGCACTGTACTCTCTCCAAACCAATATCTGTGATGACAAGTCATTAAAAATGCAATCACAGCCTATAATTAGATCAATCAAACTAGCGAATTGGTTTCTAATTACAGGACGGCCAACCAAACACGCGGCTCACTAATCTCAACTCGGGCCACGGCAGTTTTGGGTCATGTCTGCCAGCTGGCCTCTCTGTGGGGACCTTCACACCCTCTCGCCCCTCTCAACACCAAATAGCCAAAGCTCATCCCCCGCAAGCAGAATAAGGTGAGTACACCGGCAAGGGTGAGCACCGGCCAGGGTGAACACCGGCCAGGGTGAACACCAGCCAGGGTGAACACCGGCCAGGGTGAAGACCGGCCAGGGTGAAGACCGGCCAGGGTGAACACCGGCCAGGGTGAGCACCGGCCAGGGTGAACACCGGCCAGGGTGAGCACCGGCCAGGGTGAACACCGGCCAGGGTGAACACCGGCCAGGGTGAACACCGGCCAGGGTGAGCACCGGCCAGGGTGAACACCGGCCAGGGTGAGCACCGGCCAGGGTGAACACCGGCCAGGGTGAGCACCGGCCAGGGTGAACACCGGCCAGGGTGAACACCGGCCAGGGTGAACACCGGCCAGGGTGAGCACCGGCCAGGGTGAACACCGGCCAGGGTGAACACCGGCCAGGGTGAACACCGGCCAGGGTGAGCACCACTGGTGCTCACCCTGGTGGGGGCAGGTGGGGCAGGTGGATGCAGGTGGGGCAGGTGGATGCAGGTGGGGCAGGTGGATGCAGGTGGGGCAGGTGGATGCAGGTGGGGCAGGTGGGGCAGGTGGATGCAGGTGAGGCAGGTGGGGCAGGTGGATGCAGGTGAGGCAGGTGGGGCAGGTGGGGCAGGTGGATGCAGGTGGGGCAGGTGGGGTGAGACTGATGGTAGGAAATGAGAAGGGAACATAGAGGCGTGCGGCCTGCATGACAAGTGGAGGCCGGGAGAGACGCGCGTCATCACACACTAACTACCCAGCCTCTGGACTATGTCACACTGGGGGCCTGGTATCCTGGTGGATAGCGCGCGAGTCTCGCAATTCTGTTTCGCGGGTTCGATTCCCGCACCAAGAAGAAACAATTGGGCAAAGTGTCTTTCACCCTTAATTCCCCTGTTACCTAACAGTAAATAAGTACCTGGGAGTTAGTCAGCTGTCACGGGCTGCTTCATGGGGTGTGTGTGGTGTGGAAAAAAAGTAGCTAGTAAACAGTTGAGAGGCGGGCCGAAAGAGCTAAGCTCAACCCCCACAAACACAACTAGGTGAATACAACTAGGTGAATATACACTCCCCCCAAGTATGTAATCATTTTACACAAGTGGAATACACTGAAAGAATTAGTTGTAGAAGCCACCTCCATCCACAACTTTAAGGCCTAATTCGACAAAGAATTTGAACATTAGAATAGTTAAACTATAACATAGCGGGTACAACATGCCATCGCTAGCAGGCGGGGGATGAAGAGCTAGACCTCACTCCAACGTTGACAATGATAGTTAAGTACTAATAGGTAAGTACTCACAACACACTGACGCAGCCATATTCCCTCATTATAGACCCACAGAGCCCATGACAATAGAATGTAAGGTTAGTTGGATTTATTAGAGGGAATACTAAGTCTGAATGTAGAGAAGTGGCAACATTCCTGGAATAGGAGTGCCATGCCTGGCACAGAGCGAGGCATGGCACTCTTGGTCTGACCCCCACAGGAGGGACCCATCTCTGCTCCAAGGTCAGCTTTAGTACTGACGTGTAGTACAACACAGGTGGGACAATGTATGTCGCATGACGTCTTGTCTGCCTGCCTGTCTGCCTTATCAGCTCTCGATTGTAGGTTATGCGCCTACAATGGCTATAATGGGTAACGGAGAATCAGGGTTCGATTCCGGAGAGGGAGCCTGAGGGAGTACGTTGAGTTCACTCGACGTACATCTGGTAGATAAGTGTCAATGTCAAACCTTAATATAATTGACCTGGGTTAAAATCTCAATAATTATCAGGATTTGACATTTCTCTGACGATTGTTATTACATAATAAACACAAAACCAACTTTAATTACATGAAAGTAATTAATTAATATATCAGAGCGAGTAGAAGCACGACGACGCCGGTCTAAACGAAAATTAATTAAATCAAGTAAGTTTGCCGAGGCGGAGCTGTGAAGAGCCTCCGGGTCGTGGACACATTCCTCTCGCTCTCAGATCCAGTTCATTAAATTCCTGGGATCTCGTCGTCATCAGGCCGACGCCGCCCCGAGACTCCAGGCTCTCAACACGCTTGGTGCAGGAGGCCAGCTTCCTGTGGTGCTGGCCCCTCCACCCGCTGGTGCTGCACCTTGCTGGCCCCTCCACCCGCTGGTGCTGCACCTTGCTGGCCCCTCCACCCGCTGGTGCTGCACCTTGCTGGCCCCTCCACCCGCTGGTGCTGCAGCTTGCAACCCCTCCACCCGCTGGTGCTGCACCTTGCTGGCCCCTCCACCCGCTGGTGCTGCACCTTGCTGGCCCCTCCACCCGCTGGTGTTGCAGCTTGCTGTTCCCTCCACCCGCTGGTGCTGCAGCTTGCTGGCCCTTCCACCCGCTGGTGCTGCACCTTGCTGGCCCCTCCACCCGCTGGTGCTGCAGCTTGCTGTTCCCTCCACCCGCTGGTGCAGCACCTTGCTGGCCCCTCAACCCGCTGGTGCTGCACCTTGCTGGCCCCTCCACTCGCTGGTGCTGCACCTTGCTGGCCCCTCCACCCGCTGGTGCTGCACCTTGCTGTTCCCTCCACCCGCTGGTGCTGCACTTTGCTGGCCCCTCCACCCGCTGGTGCTGCAGCTTGGTGACAAACTACTCGAGAGAGTTATAAAAACAATTCGGGTAATAATTCAGTCTTGGTCCACCTTTTATAGCTAAGAATGGAGGCCATGCCACCCATCAGGTGGCGGCGTGGGGCATGGGCTGGTGATGGGGGGCGGCGTGGGGCATGGGCTGGTGATGGGGGGCGGCGTGGGGCATGGGCTAGTGATGGGGGGCGGCCTGAGGCATGGGGGTGGTGATGGAGGGCGAAGTTGGGCATGGGGGTGGTGATGGGGGGCGGCGTTGGACTTGGGGGTGACGATAAGGGGGGCATGGGGGTGATGGTGGGGGGGGGGGGGGGCATTCGTGGGGCATGGGGGTGATGATGGGGGGCGGCGTGGGGCATGGGGGTGATGATGGGGGGCGGCGTGGGGCATGAGGGTGGTGATGGGGGCGGCGTGGGGCATGGGGGTGGTGATGGGGGGCGGCGTGGGGCATGAGGGTGGTGATGGGGGCGGCGTGGGGCATGGGGGTGATTATGGGGGGCGGCGTGGGGCATGAGGGTGGTGATGGGGGCGGCGTGGGGCATGGGGGTGGTGATGGGGGGCGGCGTGGGGCATCTAGGTGGTGATGGGGTGGCGTGGTGCATGGGGGTGGTGATGGGGGGCGGTGTGGGGCATGGAGGTGGCAATTGTTCTAGGTACCAGTCTGAAGGATGCGGTGACATATACAAGAAACATTGCGGTGCCCTGTATGGAGAGCTGCGACTCAAGTGGCAGTAAAGGGCCCCTCTACTACATGTATTGGAGAAGGTTTAACAGTATAGTAAGAACAAATAATTCAGAGATGACTCAATGGTATACGTATGATTCGTTGTGGGGGTCTGTTTTGGCACCGTGTAATGTGGCACTCTTTTAATTTATGACAACCCTCAGCCGCCCATGTTGTGCACTTGCCCGAATGTAATTGCTGTTAGAAAATTAATGCGTCTGGCCTCCAACTTCGAAAAGATATTCCAATTATTAGATACAGAAGTTTATACCAACATTACGAATAGAAAGAGAGAGGATTAGGGAATGAATTTACGTGCACAAATCACCAGCAAGAGAAGTTATCAGAAGTGTATGTATGTACCACACACACACTACTCCAGTGAACAGTTCGTAGCGGCTCAGTCCTCCTCCTCCTCCTCCTCCTCCTCCGTCAACGTTGATTGAGCGCTGGCGTAATGGCCGGATATGTGTGTTAAGTCGTGAGAACCGGCTCCAGGGACATGATATCAAGTTCACCATCCTTCCTTCAAACGCTATCGAGGTTCTACAGATAACCGAATTCCAGGTAACTATGTATGAGAGGAAAAAATATGTTTTTCTTTTGCTTTTGAAGGGGAGCGGATCTGTGTCAAGAACAATCAGCGAGGTAAATCCTAAGGAAAAAAATACATTAAAGGAGGTTGAACCTGCAAAAAAACTGTGTGGGGTGGAAGGGGGGAATCGGGGGAGGCAGGTTGAGCCAGACTCAGGTCTTCATGACTGGAGCCGGGAAGGGACGAGGTTGGACTAGTTTACTGTGACGATGTGTGTCAGGTCTACCTCTCTCTGCCCCGCCTATTATCCTAGCCTTGTACCTGCTGGGTACAAGGCCTTACTACTCTGACTTTCTAATTCTTTGTCAAATTTAAAGTGTCGAATTCGACAAATTCTTTGTCGAATTTTTTGCCTTTAAAGTTGTGGATGGAGGTGGCTTCCACAACTTTCCTTCTTGGAACATTCCACTTGTTAACTACCCCGTGCAGGGTACAAGTACTCCCTTACATCCTTCGGCTCATTTGCGCTTCCAGCTTCCACCTGTGTCCTCTTGTCCTGCTTTTTCTCAATCTGAAGAGGCTATCCTTGTCCATGTTATCTATATTCCCCTCAGTATCTTGTACACTGTAATCATATCCCCTCTGTTCCTTCTGTCATCTAGGGCTGTGAGATTTAGTTTCATTAACCTGTGTTCGTACCTTAGACCTTTTAGCTCTGACACCAATTATGTTGCAAACCTTTCTACGTTTTCAATTTTTGGATTTATTTTCTATATCATATGTATTTTCTATATCAGATATTGTGGCCTATTTTCTATATCATATCTACCGGCACCAGGCCAGCTACTGACCATTCCCAGGCTACATCCCACAACTTTCTAATTCATAGATACCTATTTACTTCTAGACCAGGGGTCTCCAAACTTGTCAATGTAAGCGCCACGTTATATATTTCCCATATTTATGCGGGCCGGAGGAATAAAAAATGAAAAAAACAAAAAACAAATCAGTGCCAGTAATTTAATTTCCTCAAATATTAAAGTATAAACATGGAAAAATTAAAACATATCTTTTTGGAAAAAATCAGGGTAAACTAAATAGATTCCTGCCTTTAGTTTTATGCAACCAAATTAGTGTGACGAATGATACTGTCGTTTTG